GATCTGAAGGAAACCTATTCATTTAAACTGACAAAAACATACTGTCATTTTCATTTCATTACAAAGCATGCCAATGTAGCAGAAACATTTTGATTGATTGAACATCTTTTTCTCAATCCAAGTAGTAATTGATCAGCTTACTAAAGTTCAACAACTCAAGTCAAAGCAGAAAAGTCTTTTCTTTCTTTCTTTCTTTCTGAACATCTATCCAAGTAGTAATTGATCAGCTTACTAAAGTTCAACAACTCAAGTCAAAGCAGAAAAGTCTTTTCTTTCTTTCTTTCTTTCTTTTTTTTTACTTATGAAGCATAATATACATTTTAAATACAGAAAATTACTAAAATAAAATTATCTTTTAGGAGACGCTAAACTGTGGCACTCATTTTGTTTGGAATAAGGTAAGATAAGATACATATACATACACACACACACATGTACTCATGCGTGTGTGTGTATGTATCTATCTATCTATAAGCTGGGCAACAAGTAACTAGAATAATTCCTATGCAACTGCCTGTGGAACATTGACTCTGTGGCCCAGTAAGTGATGTACCACTTCATTTCCATCAACACCTTAATTCCTGCCCCTACAGAGAACAAATGAGACAACAGAACTAAAAGCACTTTGAGTCTCTGAAAGAAAGAAACTATAGAAATCCTGAGAGAAGAAAAAAATGCAAGTGCAGTCTCTGAAAAGGGAAAAAAAGAATATTGCATAAAAAGAGAGTCAAGGTGTTAATTGTTGAAGAGTCCTTCAGGTTGAAGAGTGCCATACTTGATTATCCTTCTGTCTCCTGCAGCCACCCAGTGATTCTTTTCAAGGATCTGCAGTGATCAGCTCTCTCACTGCAATCAGTCTATTTATTCAGTGGCCTTTTCACAGCCAAAATGCTAGGAGCTGCTCAGGTGCTCAGGCGTGGTCCAGTCAAACAGGCCTGCACAGGTTTCCACCCCACCCGGGTGTCAGAAAATAAAAACGGGCAAAAGAGTTTTAATGAGTTGTTAATGATTTAAGTATTCACAGTGATAGGCTTGCAAGATAAGACAAAAGGGACCTAAGAGCAGTGAAACTAAATCACACCAAGAACACATTCAACAGTGGGGAATGCAATTACACAACTGGTACAGATTTAGGAAGCTTCCAAAATAGCACTCAGACTGAAGATCCTATGGTCCAGCCTTCTGCTTCCACTCAGAAGCTACCCCTCATGCCCTTCCTACAAAAAAGTACTCGAGTCTTTTCTTTAGACTTTCCTGAGCAGAGTAGTCGACAGTGTTCAGAGTTTTATACTATTGCTCCACAAACACTTGGCCTCTGCCAATGTCAAGCCTACTTATCAATTGCTTACTGAAGACAGGCCTAAACTTGAGTTGTTTCCTGTAAAGTACAATGGTCAACATAAAGATCATCTACTTGAAGGAAAATTGATTTTAAGCAGATTAAGAAGCTTCATGCTTACAGAGTCTCACACTGGGTATATTTTTCTAAAACATCCCCAACAAGATAAGATGTTGGGAAATAGATCCCTTGGCTAGTTAAGAAGGAATGTCATCTTAAAAAACAGACAAACAAAAAAAACCAACAACACTCTGGCTGGTTTTGCTCAGTGCTTAGAGCATCAGCCCACGGACTAAAGGGTAGCAGGTTGGATTCTGGTCAAGTGCATGTACCTCAGTTGTAGGATTGATCCCTGGGACTGGAGGAGACACATATGAGAGGCAACCAATCAGTGTGTCTCTCTCACATGGATGTTTCTCCGTCTCTCCCCATCCCTTCCACTCTCTAAAAAAAATCAATGGGAAAAAATATCCTTGGGTGAGGATTAACAACAACACAAAAAATCCATAACAGAATCACCCTACTAAGGAACTGATAGACACATATCATACTTTCGTACATTTTTGCAAGCAGATTTCATTTTCTTTACCCAAATGTATTCAACTTTAGAGTTTGCAATACCAAAATCCTATAAAATAAGGTGCTGATATGCAAATTGACCATCACTCCAACACACAAGATGGCCATCCCCATGTGGACACAAGATGACCACCACAAGATGGCCAGCAGGGGAGGGCAGTTGTGGGCGATCAGGCCAGCAGGAAAGGGCAGTTGGGAGGGACAGGCCTGCAAGGGAGGGCAGTTGGGGCAATCAGGCCGGCAGGGGAGAGCAGTTAGGGGCAACCAGGCCAGCAGGGGAGGGCAGTTAGGGGTGACCAGGCCTGCAGGGGAGGGCAGTTAGGGGTGACCAGGCCTGCAGGGGAGGGCAGTTAGGGGTGACCAGGCCTGCAGGGGAGGGCAGTTAGGGGTGACCAGGCCTGCAGGGGAGGGCAGTTAGGGGTGACCAGGCCTGCAGGGGAGGGCAGTTAGGGGTGACCAGGCCTGCAGGGGAGGGCAGTTAGGGGTGACCAGGCCTGCAGGGGAGGGCAGTTAGGGGTGACCAGGCCTGCAGGGGAGGGCAGTTAGGGGTGACCAGGCCTGCAGGGGAGGGCAGTTAGGGGTGACCAGGCCTGCAGGGGAGGGCAGTTAGGGGTGACCAGGCCTGCAGGGGAGGGCAGTTAGGGGTGACCAGGCCTGCAGGGGAGGGCAGTTAGGGGTGACCAGGCCTGCAGGGGAGGGCAGTTAGGGGTGACCAGGCCTGCAGGGGAGGGCAGTTAGGGGTGACCAGGCCTGCAGGGGAGGGCAGTTAGGGGTGACCAGGCCTGCAGGGGAGGGCAGTTAGGGGTGACCAGGCCTGCAGGGGAGGGCAGTTAGGGGTGACCAGGCCTGCAGGGGAGGGCAGTTGGGGGTGACCAGACCAGCAGGGAAGGGCAGTTAGGGGCGACCAGGCTGGCAAGGGAGGGCAGTTAGGGGCAATCAGGCTGGCAGGGGAGCGGTTAAGGGATGATCAGGCTGGCAGACAGAAGCGGTTAGGGGTAATCAGGCAGTTGAGCAGTTGGGAGCCAGCAGTCCTGGATTGTGAAAGGGATGTCCCAGATTGAAGAGGGTGCAGGCTGGCCTGAGAAACACACCCCCCCCCCCCGTGTGCCAGTGCACAAATTTTGTGCACCGGGCCTCTAGTAGATATATAAGAAGGTCCTCCAATTTACCATTCTCAGCTCCAAAATAAATCAGTCAGTTTAACATTAAGTCAAGACTGACAAATAAGAATGATTCTAGGTCATGATTAAGATGGCTTTTCAAACTACCAACAACAGCATGTCCTAATCATCTGTTAAATGCCTGGCACTATGGGCACTATGTTAATACCAGTGGCAGATACAAGAGATGTATAAAATACAGTTCCTGTCATCCACACCTAACAGTCTAGAGCCGTGGCCGGCAAACCGCAGCTCGTGAGCCACATGCGGCTCTTTGGCCCCTTGAGTGTGGCTCTTCCACAAAATACCACATGCGGGCGCACACGTACAGTGCAATTGAAACTTCGTAGCCCATGTGCAGAAGTCAGTATTTTGTGGAAGAGTCAGTATTATGTGGAAGAGCCACACTCAAGGGGCCAAAGAGCCGCATGTGGCTCACGAGCTGCAGTTTGCCGACCACTGTTCTATACCAATACTAGAAGATTGTGAGGATAGTCAACTATGGCTTCTAGATCCAGCTCTGCCACTATCTAGCTGCAAAAATGTGAGCAAATTGTTGAACCAAGAAACAGAATTTCCGGAGGATGAGGCCCAGAAATCAGGATTTTAAAAAGATTCCCAGGTGAGTCTAATGTGCAGCCAAGGTTGAGAACTACTGGTCTAGAGAGACAGCCATCAATTAATTTACCAATAGACTATATTGCATAATGAGCATAATGAGATTATTTGTAAATTGTCGAAGTTCAAACACATGTTACCATAAAAGGCATGCCATGGTGCTTCAGTTCTCAGGCTGGTAGAACAGTGACTTAGCTCATAATGAAATTGAAATATCAGGTTTGTGCAAATGAAACATAATATAGAAAGCCAGTAATACTTCCAGATCTGGCATGTATATGGTGCTCTGTTAGCCACAAAGAGTTTTCGACATACATAAACTTCACCAGGACACTGTGGATATGTTGTATTTGGTAAAATATGGTAATATTTTCAATGGTTGAGTAAACTGAAGCACAGAAAGCCTGGAAACTTCTTCAAAGTCACAGAGCTACTATTACGTGGCAACAGGAATCTTATGTTGGCTTCTGACTCCAAATCCCATTCTGTAAACTGAGTAAGAAACAGGTGCAGCGTGTTTTGTTTTGCTTTGTTGTTAAGTCTGATACCTGAGAAAGGAAATTCACTTGAGGAGGTGAATAGAACTTTTCGTGATTCAAAAGGAGGCTTAGGGGCACTTTTTGCAGCTTTCCTGCCTTCATTTCACTGGGAGCTTGTGGAGGGGCTTTTCCTTCAGGTTTGTCACTAGTACTTTCCAAGTTCATGTGCCATGATTAAAGGCATGTGGGAGGAGGGAGTCTAGTTTGGGTTTAAAAAGATTTCCTTGATAACTGGATAAGCACTGGAAGTGAGAAGGGAAGGAAGAAGTGTGATGAAGAAGAATGTGTGTAAGGAAAAGACTGCCCAGGACAGAGTTAACTCAAGTCTTAAAAGAAAGGCAAAGAGGGATGGAGGCTGAGGGAAGCATTATTCTATTAAAGGGATCACGGGGAACAGCGTTGAATCAGCCCTCATCACTATGCTATCAAGCCAAGGCAGCTTGGAGGAGTCAACAGCAGCCATAACCCAGCTATGCATAAATATGGGTCTCCTCCCACAGTGAGAGTCTACAGTTGAGACGTCATCTATAAAATCTGCAAGTGGCAATACAAATAATCACATCTACGCCTTCCACAAAAATCCCTCTAACGAAATAAGAGTGCAGAGTTTCATTCATCCAATAATCCAATAAACATTTACCGTGTGCCAAGCACCACGCTAGATGTCAGAAAAACAAAGATAAACAGGTACAGTCCCTGCCTTCGAGGAGCTCACAGTTTAGCAGGTGAGAAAGATGCACAAATAAATAAGTGCAAAATCATGCAAATGGTATGAATTTATTTATTTAAATACGACTACAGCACTGGCATAATACACTTCAAGCATAAACAGATCCCAATAGGTTCCCCAACATGCTCTACTTGGCAGACTTGCTACTTATCATAAACCCATCCATACACAGAGGCCCACACTGATATTTAGGCCAAATCTATGTTATTAATCACATATTTGCCAGCTAAGTCACTTTACTAATGTCTACCCTGCCCAAATCGCTGTTTTGTTTCTAAGGGGGAAGAATGTGTATGTGCATAAATCTCGCCCAAATTGTGTAAGAGCCCTCTGAACTTGGGGTGGTGCAAAAGAGGTTCACCATAACATGGCATGTCATTTCAAGTATGGCCCAGAAAGCACAGGTGATTCACTTTAACAAACACCCTTGAGTCAATGTTATATAGGTCAAGTCCCATGAAAACAAGCTCCAAGGGAATGTCCACCTTCTTCTGTTGCAGCAAGTAAAATCTTAATTTATATTTGTTTGAGCTGTGTAATTTACAAAGCAGATGAACAAGCATTGTATCAGTTCATCAACACAGCAACCCCTACATTTTTGGTCATCTTATACCTGAAGAAGCTGAGGCCAGGAGAGGTTAGGAATTTACCCAGGGCCATGCAGTTAATGGTAAGGGTCAGAGCTGGGACTAGTCCATAAGCCTTCTGACCTCCAGTTGGGTGTTTTTTATCTTCCAAATTGCTGCTTAAAATTCCCACAACTGTGGGTAATCTTTGTTACTCATAAAGAAAGGTAAAGGAGGAGATTAGAATTCCTCCTCGGATCCAACACACTGGATGAGAAGTAAACAAAACATTCTTCTCAAATAAAAACTAAAAACACTAAAAATCCAAGCCTTTGGAAATGATAATGGAATACATTCGGTTCAAGTGCCAATATCTAAAATATATTTTCCTAGGAATAGCTTTAGCTTAATCCCCTCTCTCAACAAATCCCACATCACAATCTCCAATCAAACCCTCAATCAAGAAGCCATCTCATCATCCCCAAATTATTCAAATGAAAGCGATTAGCCACTCCTGCCTCCACACCTCGAAACAGCACCAGCACCAGCACCACCCAGTCATGTTTTGCTGAACTCAGCCTCTCCCACACTCCCTGGGATGTTTTAAAATAACTTGTTCATGAGCCAGCTCTATGTTAACCAGAAGAGCTCAGGTGGTGGTGTGGGGAGGGAGGCCTGACTTGACTTTTCTGTAATTCACAGACTAACCCTCAGAAGGGGCCTCCAAGGGAATCTCAGAGCAGGAGACAGGCTTATCAGAGGAGAGCGGGGCAGCTCAGAGCTCAAGTTTCCCTCTCCTTGCTTAGCCATGCTCATCCCCTACAGGGCACAGGGAAAGAAAATGCTACCAGTTCCCAAACATAAACCTTAAGACATTGTATGCGGGAAATGTATTTATACGTTTTACGTTATTCCCAAGCACAAACCTTAAGTCTCCTTCAAGGGAGACCATTTCTCAAATTGAAATGTAAAGAAGCTGCAAACGAGATCAGTTATTTGGCATATAAAGGAGGTACCATCTATTTCCGTTGCTCTGCAACATCCCCTATTTCGAAGAAAGGCAAATGACAGATTGTATGAAAGTGGAGTTGGGGAGTGGGAAAGGGATGACACTGTCACTTGCCAGGTGAAATTCCTCCTTGAATGTAACTGTCACCTCAAACTTAGGATGTCGTCTCCTTCAAGGGAGACCATTTCTCAAACTGAAATGTAAAGAAGCTGCAAACGAGATCAGGTATTTGGCATATACAGGAGTTACCATCTATTTCCATTGCTCTGCAACATCCCTATTTCGAAGAAAGGCAAATGACAGATTGTATGAAAGTGGAGTTGGGGGAGTGGGAAAGGGATGACACTGTCACTTGCCAGGTGAAATTCCTCCTTGAATGTAACTGTCACCTCAAACTTAGGATGTCCAAAATAATACTCATTCTCTCGCCAAGGGCAGTGTCTCCTCCTGACTCCCCAGGCCTACTTCTGCCCTTGCCACTACGGTTCTTCTCCCTGTCTCCCCAAGCTGAAACCTCAAGCATTCCTGACTCTTACCTCACCCCTGGCTCCCACACCCATCTCAGCAGTTCATGTTCTCATCCTAGTAATGTCTCCCGACTACTCTGTGGCCATACACGGTACCAAGAGTACAAGAAGCAGGCTTTGGAATCAACAGATCTACGCCTCCGTCACCTCTCCACCACAAGTCACCTGTCATCTGTCTGAGCACAGGTTTCTAGTTCACTAAATGGAGAATCACACTTTCCTCATTGGTGGCTTTAAGAATTGGTCACAAATAGCAACATATTTGTAGCCCGCACATCAGGGCCCGGAACAGACTAGTGCAGGGGTGGGCAAACTTTTTGACTTGAGGGCCACAATGGGTTCTTAAACTGGACCGGAGGGCCGGAACAAAAGCATGGATGGAGTGTTTGTGTGAACTAATATAAATTCAAAGTAAACATCATTACATAAAAGGGTACGGTCTCTTTTTTTTTAGTTTTATTCATTTCAAACGGCCGGATCCGGCCCGCGGGCCGTAGTTTGCCCACGGCTGGACTAGTGTATACTGGGTGGGCAGAAGTAGGCCTTCCTTCCCAGCCCAGAGCAACCAGAGAGTCTCTGAAATACAACTTCATCGTGCCACTCTTCAGCTCAGACTGCCTCCATAGTCCTCCACTGCCTCAGCAGAGCCAGTCAGTCTCTGGCTGACCTTCAAGATCATCAGAAACCATCCAGCCAGACCTTCTGCCTCTGTCTCCAACTCCTCTGCTCCGGCCAGGGTCTACTCACTCAGCAAACATTTACCGGCTACTGACCACATGCAAACAGGGTACTGGATGCTGGGAATGTTGAAATGAAAGGCTGCCCACCCTCAAAGAAATCACAAATGTCTTTCTGGAAGGGAGTGTGTGTCTGGGGGAAGGGACATGGAGTGGGGGTGAGGGTGAGGGTGGATAAGACCGTCATTGTTTTACAGTGTAGGAAGTGATGCAGGAGTGGTGAGCACCGAGGGGGCTGTGGGAACACCACTGAAGGAAGTGCACACACTGCCTCTGTTCTTTCTTCCTACACTCAGCTAGCCAAGTCCTACTCTGTAAGTCAAGGTCTTATTCATTCTGGCCCACACCTCTCCCATCTCTGAATTCCTCAAGTTCTTATCAACACTACTCATTTTCAGTTATCCTCTGGCTGATGTCATTTCTCGTATTGCCGTGGGTTTAGTTTGTTTTTATTACTTTTTGTATACATTGGCTGTTTTTCTCCACTAGTTTACATGACCAGAAAATGCAGACTAGACTCTAGACAACTCTAAATCTTTTATGGAATCTACATAATTATCCATGGCATAGGTGATATATTGGAAACCATTGACAATCACAAAATAATGTATTTATTAACTTTGACAAACATACTCCCCACTCACTGCTAGATCCTGACTTTGGTATGGCTTACCCTTCGTGTCCAATCCAAGACTAGAAATAAGATTCCTGGCTATCTCTGAAAATCTTCCTAAAATTTTTAAAAATCTATAGTTTTTAAACCTTTAAAAATGGTTAAGTGTAAGTTCTTCAAATAATATCTTAGGTGGACACCCAGTATAGTAAACATAAAAGGAGAGCTGTTCTGGTTGGAGCTGTGGTGACAGCCTAACGCTGCCCACCTCATGAGGGGAACATTCACCTCCTCCCCAGTAGCCCCTGACACACATCCCATGCGTGCAGTTAACACAGCTGCAGCATGTTGGAGAGGTCATCTTGCCCACAAACATCTGGAAACTGGATATATATACAAATGTGACAGTACAAATCAAAGGGCTGGGGAAAGCAGTTGGACCCTCTCACAATAACTGGGACTACAACATATGGTTAGCCATGTGGAATATAAAATAAATCTAAATTCCCTACCTCATACCATTTACAAAAATAAATTCCTCATTTATTAAGGTAGATATGTGAGAATCAAAACTTTGAAACCTTTAGGAGAAAATTATAGGAGAATATCCTTATGGTTCCGGGATAGAAAAAGTTATAGTGTGTGTGTGTGTGTGTGTGTGTGTGTGTGTGTGTGTTAAATAAGTACAAACAATAAAGGAAAAGCTAGATGGGCTTGATATATTAAAATTTCATATATATCAAAGGATCCAATAAAAAGTAAAAAGTTAAGCCAACTCTAGAAGAAGGTATTTGCAACCTATACTATCAATAAAGGATGAATAGCCAGAATACATATAAAAAAATCTATACATCAATAATAATAATTTTAAAAGGACAACCTAAAAGAGCTATCTATAGATTGCAATTGTCAATGATAGCTCATATTCTCCCAGAGTTTAAAGGACAGAACACAGTGAAATGGAGTCTTGTCCTACTTATACACATTTATATTTTATTATCATTTATAACATTTGTTACCATATATAATCTCAGTCTATTTATACAACAACCCTGGGATGTAGGCCGAAGATATCACTTGTTAGTGAGAAGCAAAACCTAGATTTTTCAACCTTCTAATCCACAATCTTTCCATTAAAAATAATTTAACTCCACTTTTTAAAAACCCTTGTTCACACAAAAATCTGTACATAGATGTTCATAGCAGCTCTATCCATAATAGCCAAAAACTGGAAACAACCCAGCTGTTCTTCAATGGACAAATGGTTAACAAATTGTGGTACATCCATACAATGGAATACTATTCAGCCACAAAAAGAAGCAAACTAGTAATACACACAACCTAAATCAGGGGTCCTCAAACTTTTTAAACAGGGGGCCAGTTCACTGTCCCTCAGACCATTGGAGGGCCAGACTATAGTTTTTAAAAAAACTATGAACAAATTCCTATGCACACAGCGGCGGCAAAAACACCCGGCGGGCCGGATAAATGTTTTCGGCGGGCCGCATGTGGCCCACGGGCCGTAGTTTGAGGACCCCTGACCTAAATGAATCTCCAGAGAATTATGCTGAGTCGGGGGGAAAAGCCAATCCTAAAAGGCTACATACTGTATGGTTCCATTTAGAAATATTTTTAAAATGACAAGATTATAGGCATGGAGTGGTTCTAGGAGTTAAGGACCAAGGTGGATAGATGGGTGAAGGGGGTGGGAGGGGCAGACAAGGACTATAAAAGGGTAACATGAGGGATCCATATAGTAATAGAACTGTTCAGTATCTTGACTGTGTCCATGTCAATGTCTTGGTTGTGATATTGTACTATAGTTTTGCTGGATGTTAATCACTGAGGGAAATTAAGTAAAGGGTATGTGTGACCTCTCTGTATTATTTCTTACGACGGCATGTACCAGTAAATGTATAATTATCTCAAAATATTTTTTAAAAGGCCTGAAGTCACCCTGCCCTGTTGTAGTGCCATTCTGAGATTAAATGAGATAAAACATGGAAAGGCACTTCACAGATTGCCAAGTGCTCTATAAATACTAGGGGACAATCACCATCTTCCTCCACAACCAGCCTCATTACATTGTCAGATTATGCCCTCATGTATTGGGCCTTGCACACCCCTCTACTGTGGTCCTACCACTGTACTTGTGTGATCTGTCCATCCCTCTGAATAGGCTGTTATTTAGCTCTATTTGCCCACAACTTAGCACTACAGCAAGCACATAGAAGTGCTAAATAAATGGGTGCCAGGTTGAAATTAGCTCTTCATTTTCTTTTTCAATACAAAGTGTCCCAACACTGGTGGAAGCAAGGAGTGGGGTGAACTGGGAAGAATAGCCCATCAACCATGAGCCCACACCTTGAAAGTTTTATCAACTACCGACTCCTTCCCTGAGCCACTGAGAACCCAAGTGAAGCAAAGGCCTATACAGAGGGTGTGGCAACAGCAACAAAAACATGAATTCAATTCATCAGGCCTCCTTTTTTTTTTAATCTTTTTCAAGCTCTGCAAATGAAGGAATTGACCGTTTGGGTCAGTGGAAAAGATGTGAAGGTAGGCTACGGTATATCTTCTGGAAAGTATTTTAAAGGGTAGTTGACAGCCCTTTTCCTGAAATAATTAGACTGAGAGCTAGGGAAAGGGGCAGAAGAATGTACTAACTGATCTGTCAGGATATCTCTCAGAGACTTCACCCTCTCTGCCTCGACAAACATTTGGCTCCTGAGTTAGGGAGGGGGTTCCCACGCCCTGAAAACAATGCTAGCTCCTCACTCCTCCTCCAAATAGTTTTCCAACATTAAAAAAAAAAAAAAAAAGCACAAGCGGGTGCTTTTCTGAGCCTAATGTTATCGGATAATTTTTCAAATTCTTACTCAATTACATATCACTCTCTTATCTGCAGTCTCCACAGGCCAAATAGCCCTGCTTTCACATCATGCCCACTGAGCCTGCAGAACACAAGTATCCCTCCCAAGTAATTCCAACTCTCATAAACATGAGATCATTTTACATTAAGTTCTGTAGAAGTGTGCCTTTTCTTCTGGGAGGAGTAAGGAGATTTGAGGCAACAGGTTAAAAACTTGGGAGGTTTCTGTTTTTGCCTTAGATAATGATTAACTCTTTTCTGATGCTGAATCCAGAAGAGCTGGCATTTCTGGACTGGCAATCCTGCGCCCTGGCCAAAAGAGCAAAAGAAAGA